GTTCTTCCTAGCTCGCTTCCTCGTCTTCTAGGTCCAACGTCTTCTGAGCTGCGAGTTGATTGTATGAGGACATGTTACTAGCCATATTGTCCAAACACAAACGACAACATCTCACTAACTCGTAGTAGTTTCAATAAACAAATGTATTCATCAACATGCCCAGACTAGCATCCAACCGACGTCTAAATCGTACTCATAGACTATTAGAATACATAGGCTTGAACAAGTATCCAACCTTTCAATAAACCGTATCCATTGATACCAACATAGTATCGAACATTTCAATAAACAGTAGGTTACACACCACGTACAACATGCCCAGACTAGTATCCAACCTATGTCTAAATCGTACCCGTTAACTGTTAGAATACATATGGTTGAACAAGTATCCAACATTTCATTAAATCATATCCAACACCCCATATCAGTATCCAAGACGCCATCAACATCATTAATGCACCCAACCAAACTCAACAACACAAACATATACATAATTCAAGCAACCTTCACTTTCTTCTTCTTCATCGAGGGCAGCCACACCACATGAATCTTCATCAACAAACTCATCTGATGTAGGATAGGGTTCTTCTTCTTTATTTTGGACGATCAGATTCTTATCCTTCTTCATAGGAGAAGCTCGTTGATCGTCCAACTCGCCGATGTCGTCGATCAGCATCCAACCGAGTGGACGGCAGCGGACGAGAGAGATGCTCGCCAGAAAGAAATGGTCACCGGAACTAATGGTTGGCGGCGGCTCTGCCTTTGGAAGAGGAGAAAAACAGAAAAAAACATGAGAGAGAGGGAATTAGAGAGTGAAGGTGGGTGGGTATTTAATTCACATCACTTCTCCTTTTTGTTTCCCCATTTTTACGTCACTTCCCCATCCCCTTCTTCTTACAAAATCCCGTCCAAATTTTGGACTGACCCGCAGCTTTTCCACCAGCTCCCTCCCTTGGCTCGGCTTGGGCTAAAACCCCCCCACCAAAGCTCACTTAAGTGAGCCCGTCCCCCTCGCCCCTTGGATCGCGGTTGGCCCTCCGTGGACAGCATCTGGGCCATGTCAGTATCTCCTAACAAAAACATCTGTTAGGAGATTAACTTTTTCGATTAAATCCACACACAAACCACAAAATCCACGCCACAAACCACGAAATACACGCCACAAAATCCACCCCACAAAATCCATGCTACAAGTTTTTTAAAGTAACCCATAAGTTTCTTTAAAAGTGAACCTATTTGTAAACTTTTAAAAGTTCAGGTATCAATATGTAAGAGAAAAAAAATTGAAGTACTAAAATATAATTTTCCATCAATATTTTTAGGACTTATATGTAAAAAATAATTTTAGAAACTAAATATTAAGATGTATAAAGTTTGGGTAACAAAACTGTAATTTGTATATAAACCCCTATTAACCAACATAGAAGGAAGATGGGAATGAAGAGGGGAAGAGAAGGAGGAATGTTAATTACTATAGTACCCTTAATGAAAGTATTGGTATGTTGTAGGGGTGGGCAACAAGAAACGGGTATCTGGGTATACTTGTACCCATTCCATTTTTTGAGGGTTACGAGACTCAAATACCCGTAATTGTTTGTTATGGAATGGGACTTGAGATACCCATTCCGTTGTACGCTACTTTAGATACCCACGAGTTACCCATTAACACTCGTTTGGCTATTAATTATGCCCATTAATCTAATAGTCCAAAATCCATTTACTCTGAGAGCTTTGAACTTTCTGCCGCCAAATTGAATGATCCCTTCACAACCCACTGTAAACACTCTGCTGAAGTCCATCTCCAGGTAATTAAGTTTGAGTGTGCTAGTCTTGATGAATGTTTAGCTTGGTGGAACTCCATCTATCATTTTCTTATTTCTGGAGCCTATACAGCTTCAATATTCAAAATCCAATAGTCAATCACCATGAATTTAAAAAGCAAGAAATATGTTATATTTCCCTTCACTTATAACCCCTTTAATTCTGAGATCAGTCGGTATTTTAGTGGTAGTGTTCTTTTCATGGCTTTGAAGGCCTGAACTTTTACAGGATTTGAGCTTGTGTGAAGGAGACTTAGAGGATGATGATTGGTTGGATAATATTACGAGAATCAAGTCATCGTAATATTGGGGACTAAATACTATGACAACACTCTTTGTGTTGTTATTGTAACAACACTAGTCTCCAACCAATAGGAAGCTAGGTTTGTGATGACTTTTTATTAGATGAGTTGACCTAGTGTAAAACCAAAACAGGGGTATAATTGTCATTATGAAAAATCTGTTAAAAAAATAAAAAAAATAAAAAAATAAAACAAAATTATTTTTTTATTTGCGGCCCAAAATTTTGGTCGCCGGAATTCGGCCATCGGTCGCCGGAATCTGGACGCCGGCCACCGGAATATGCTTTTTTGTCGCCGGAATATGCTCACCGTGATCGGAATATGCTTATCGGCGTCGGAATCTAGTCATCGGGGCCGGAATATGCTTATCGGCGCCAGAATCTACTCACTGACGGTCATCGGAGTTTGGTCAACGATTTGCGTTGACCGGTCAACGGTCTTCGTTGACCGGTCAACGACCAACGACCACCGGATGTTATGGTCTGCATTGTGAGATTTATGGTTTGGTTTCTCATATTTTTGTATGCTTTTTGTGGTTTGCTTTATCGTGTTTGTGGTTTGCATTAAGAAGTTTCTGGTTTGCTTTATTGTGTTTGTGGTTTGCATTAACACGTTTTTGGTTTGCTTTCAAAAATTTTGTGGTTTGCTTTGCGGGGTTTCTGGTTTGTTTTAATAGATTTTTGGTCTGCATTGGGACGTTTCTGGTTTGTTTTTGTGGTTTGCTTTATCGTGTTTGTGGTTTGCATTATGAGGTTTCTGGTGTGTGTTTTAAAATTTTGTGGTTTGCTTTGCGGGGTTTCTAGTTTGTTTAAGTAGATTTTTGGTCTGCATTAGGACGTTTCTGGTTTGTTTTTTTGGTTTGCTTTAACGTGTTTGTGGTTTGCATTATGAGGTTTCAGGTGTGCTTTCAAAATATTTGTGGTTTGGTTTGCGGTGTTTCTGGTTTGTTTTAGAGAATTTGTAGTATGCATTAGGAGGGTTCTGGTTTGCTTTTTTGTAGTTTTTTTATCACGTTTGTGGTCTGCATTAGAAAGTTTCTGGTGTGTTTATTAAAGACTAGTGATCTGCATACCGATAACTCCTAAATGCATATCATAAACACAATAATAAACTAAAATACATTAAAAAAATGCGATTGATATACTGAGCTCTACAAAAATAACTTGGACCAAAGTTCATGTTGCTCTCCGCCTCCGTGAACTCCATCTCATCCATCCCTTCCCCCTGTATTCCAATGCAGAAACGCCTTCCTCTTCATAAGGAGCTTTCTTCTTCTCCGTCATGTTTTTCCATTCTTCACCAGAGATCTATCTTTGCAACTTGCCAATCAGACCCAACTCCGGCTATGAGAACAGATAATAAACGACGAGATGGGGAGGGACATGGAAGATGTGGAGGATTTTGTCGATCCCTGCATCCACGAGGCCTTTGACTCCAGCTTGGGATTCGTCAAACCATCCCGCAGCGAACGCCTCTCTCTCCGTTGCCGCCTTCTTCTCCCCTCTTTACCGTCACCATGGATCGTAGGAAAGAGAGATCGAATTCCAACTCAGGCGCTGCCTCAATCGTCGTCGTCGCACATGGCCCATCCGATCTTAGAGTTCAGACCTAAGACGATGTGGTTGTGGCATCTATCTCTGACTGAATGGTGGAATCCATGTCTCCCAGGCGGCGAAGGAGATCATCGGGACGCGATTGTGTATGACTGGGAACGTTGTCGGAGTGGAGAAGCGGAGAGGCGAAGAGTCTCCGGCAAGGGAGAATGTTTTGATTTTTCAGGGAAAGCCGGCTACAGGGGAGATGGAGAACCGAGATCCAACAAGAGGGTGAAGGAGTGGCTGCGACTCATTTGAATCGGCGCCGACGCCGGAAGGAAGAAGAAACGTCAGGAGGATTGTCGACCCAACGTCGGAGGAAAGAAGAACGACGGGGATGATAGGAGATCGACAGACGACAGGGGATGAGAGGAGATCGAAACAGGACAGCTGGGATTGGAAATTAATTTTTTAATTTTATTTTGTTAATTCCCCTTTTTACCCCGTTGTTACTGTAGCAACAAATAGACTGTTGTTATACTATCCGGAGCCGTAATATTAGGCCTCGTTCTGGACTTGCATATCTTATTAGTATCTTGTTGTTATTAGTTTTCTTTATTGTTTTCATTGTTCTATTAGGTTTGGGATTACCTTTTAGTATTTGTTTAAGGATTAGTTATTGTTTCCTTGTGGTAGAAATAGTTATGTTTTAGGTAGGAGAAAGGAAAGTCTCTATGCCTATAAATATGTACTTTGTCTTTCATTTAATGTCATGAAAAAGATTGGAACCCAAATCTAGTTTAAGGGCTCGTTTGGAGCCTCCGATTCCAGATATTGTATTCTCATTATACATGTATCCTGAGAATACAACGTTTATTTGACTTGATGTAATAACATAATGCATGCATTCATAATCCATGGTGTATTCCTGATACATAGAAAATGATGTATTCATAATCTTACATTTTTTGTGAGATTTTAGTAACCATAGTTCATTTAAACTATAATCCATGCATTCTTGTATGGGTTCCAAACAATGAATTTTCAAAATCACACATTCTTAGTATATACATAATCTTTAATACACACATTCTCGTAATACATCATTTCCAGAATCAAAGGTTCCAAACGACCCCTTATTGTCTTTCGATTTATCGCAATTTATGACGTTTTATCGTAGTTTGTTAGTTTTATCGCAAGGAAGTTATGAGACAAGAATTCTTCAATTCTGTGTCTCGTAACAATTAAAACTTCCGATTTGGATAGGGTGTGGCAGAAGACACGCTCCGAGTTTAATACAGTAAAATTTCATGCTCGATTGTAGTTTTAATTATGTTCCACCAATTGGACGAGTATATACAAGTAGTATGGATACCCGTTATTCATTCCGTACGGGTAATGAGTACCCGTTGACCTGTACGAGTTTGAGATGTGAGATGGAGATTGCTCTTCAAATGAGTCTGGATTTCCATTTCAAACGGGACGAGTATCCCATCCCGTCCCGTTGCCCACCCCAAACATGTTGCTAACACTTAATGGTATTAGCACCCTATCTCCTCCCATTGTATCTCAAAATTTCTGTATTCTAACTTTTAAATATAATAACGTAACTTCATGGCCACAGATTTGCAACGAAAAAACCTTTTTTGTTTCTCATATTCTTACAAAAGCTCTTAGTCAGTAGGCGTGTGTTGATGATGATCAAACTCTCTACAAATTGGGTTTTCCTTGGAGTTTCCAATCAAGATACTCACTCTTGATTAAAAAAACAAAAACAAAAGAGAAAAGGAGAAACTTTCAAGAGAATTTTGATACAGATTTCCTTCCCTTTTCCTGTTTATATACACTACACAGTAAAGTTGTGTTCTTTTTTCTTCTTATACTCAATTAATGCTTGAGTAGCATGGCTTCCATTTTCCTTTTCCTCGCTGCAAGTTTTAGCTTCTCCAATGCAACCAGCCCAACTTGCCTCACTCTTTCCCTCGACAACCCAATGCTGTTAACCCAGAAACAACAGGTTCATGTTAAACCCCGATGTCAGAAATCAGAGGGAAGGTTTGGTATAAAGAGCGAATCTGACGAAAATATATTGCAGAGGGAGAAATGGATGTGCAAGAATGCATTGACTGACCGTTTGCTGATGTCCTCCCACGTAAAGCATTTTGTGTCGAGGCCATAGTAAAGGCGTATGATCTCTCGTTCTCGTTCTTGAAGACTCAAATCGATTAGCTTGTTCACTTCATCCTGCCAGAAAAAATGGTCCACACATTTGATGTTATTGGAATACTGATGGAAACAGATAGCTAGTGGCTATTTAGTCTTATAGTAAAGTTAACAATGAAATGTCCTTCTTATTTTACCTTGAGTGCCAATTCGTCTACACCATGCCAGGGGTTGTTCTCCAAGTGATTATCTGCAATGTACTGCAGCATTGAAAATGGAGAAGAAATGTCAGCAGCAAGATGGAAAAGAATGTTGTGATTTGGAACTTGGGGTTTGCAGGATTTGGGTTCACTCACACTATGGTGGGATTCTCCAGGAAGGCCATTCAAGGAAGGGAAAGCATCCCGATCCATCGAGATGACCTTGTTAACCGCCTGAAGTACAAGGGCAAAACCAATTTCCATCTAGTTAGTACAAAATCAAGAGAAAAGGTGTAATCTTTCAGCACAAGTAACTTTCACATCTCATGCTATATTACCTCTGTGGCATTTCTAACTTTCTTCTCTGACATATTCAGTGACTCTGCAATTCTCTGCAAAAAGGTGAAGTAGGAAAGAGTCATAAAAGGGAACTGGGAGCTACACTCCCAACAACTTTCAGATATGCTACAGAATGGAAACTTAGAGCTCTAATAAACCATTCCCTTAATAGGAAAAAAACAACTTCAATCCGCTTACATCAATGGATGGTGTTATTCCTTTCTCTTCGAGTCTGATCTTTGCATTCCTTATGAGGCCTAGCCTCTCATGCAGATGATTAGGTAGCCTTAAGGTTCTTGAATTCTCAACTAAAGCTTTGGAGACACCCTGCATTGGGAAGGGAAAATGGTATCAACAATATGCAAAACTAAAAAATTCACACAAATGCAGACCAGCTGAAAGATTCAACACCCTTTACCTGACGAATCCACCAATAAACATAGGTAGAAATCTTAAAACCCTTGGAAGAATCAAACTTCTCTATGCCACGCAACAGTCCAATCAGACCTCCCTGCGTATAAGCACATTGCACGGTTGGTAAAAATAACTGGAAGCTAGCTCACCATGCTATGCACAGAAGTATTATTAAACTTCAAACCTCAGCACTTGAGTTTCAAAGAAGGTAGAAATGAATGGTCACCTGAACAAGGTCAGCCAGTTCGGCACCCATGTTGTCATACTTTTGCGCTATCGACATAACCAAGCGAACATTGCTCATTGCCAGCTTCTCTCTTGCCAATGAACAAGCCATCTGTTTGGAATGCAGTTCAGCACGAGATATCTTCAAGGAATCCGCCAGTTGTTCATCCGAGGGATCACATCCCAGTCTTTCTCTCAGCCTGTCAATTTACCAGTAAACAAAACCATTTAGGGTCTGTTTGTTGGACTAAAAAGAAGTGAACTTTTAGGAGCAAAGGGTTATCTTTCTTCTTCTTCTTCTCAGGTAATGCCAGGTACAAAGAAAGAAAGGAATTTACCTGGATTTACGTTCCTCCAAGGAGAGACCAGCTTTAATAACCCTGGACAGGCGCACAACTTCTGCATGAGTGAGCAGTTCTTCACTCAGCACACCCTTCACATAACCAGTCAAGCGATTGTGCACCAGCTCAGGGATAATACTACTCTGGCCTACAGTTTTTCTTTTAGTGTTGATTCTCCTTTGCCGTGCAGAGACCCCAGAACAGGTAACTACTGGAACCTTCTTCTTCTTCTTTCCTTTCTTCTTACCAACAGCAGATGATGAATCCGGCCTCTCCTCAAATGAGAGACTCCATTGCTTCTCCAGCATAGACCTTTGTAACAGAAGAAGCGCCTCTACCGAGTAGCCAAGAACATCACAACTTTCTTCTTCATCTTCTTCTTCTTCCAAATCCTTGAAAGTAGTTTCGGGCAATGTGGTTGCAGCAGTTACAGTGTCAACATGGTCTTTCAGGGCCTTAATGGAATGCGTGGTCCTATTGGAACCCTGGTAGCCAGGGCCATAATGTGACGATGATGACTTCTTGGCAACTACAATGCTTCTCGATGAAGTGAATTGAGAGTGGGATGATCCATGTTCGGAGGAGGAGCTGCTGCTACAGAAGAGCTTCTCGGGAGGATCCGAACAGTAATGGAAAGAAGAAGGCAAGAGTCTGTTTCCTGCAGTGAGTCCAATGACTGCAGTGGTGGCCATCATATGGCTTCTTACCCAGCACCCTCAATAACCATTGGCGGTTGAAGCCCTTTGGGTTGCTTGATACGATATAGTTCTTCCACAGTGGGCGAAATGAGATCAGTAGGGCTCAACAGAAACAGTCTTTTCCCCCTCCTAAATTGGTGATCAAACAAAGAAAAGAATGAACACAAATCACTCTCCAGCTTCACATATGTGATGGCTTCTTGCTTGTATAATTAAGTTGAACACATTAACACAGTAGACAATGGCATGGTGAACGAAAACGCAGCTCATGGAACAGCTAAATGATTAAGGAAAGAAAGCACACGATTCAAGCAGCGGTTTGAAGCAGGGCAGCAAAGCAAAGAGCAGCGACAGGGAACTGATCTTCAATGATGAAGCAGTACACTTTTCTTCCTCCATAGGGGGAATGTTGTGGTTGATGCTAGATGCTCTATGGTTTAGCAGTTAACACATAAAGTTGAACTCTAATGGGTAAATACACATACATGCATACAAAGGTCCGGTTTGGGGTGGGAAGTGATTAGAATGAGAATCTGAAGTTGGGTTTGGGTTTGGGTTTGGGTTTGGGTTGACATACATAAACCCAGGAGATGGTTAGTAGGTAGCAGCAAGCAAGAGAAAGAAAGAGTAAATGGCCAAAGCTGAGGAGGAAAGGAAATGGCCATGGTGCAGCATAGACGAGAGAGATGTGAAATGGGCATGCATACCTTGGGACTGAATTTCGATGAACTCCAACAGCAGAGCAGCAGGCTGAGGAAGAGGGTAATGAGCAGAGAGAGGGTTGAGCTGGTTGTGTTTGAGCAGAGGAACAAGAACCTCTCCTTGTTTCTTGTTGTGAAGCGTTGGCCTGTAACAGATATTTGTTTTCCAGTTGTGATAATTGTTATGATCTGAATAAACGAGGGAATAATGATTCTTGGTTATATTTATTTATATATATGATATGATCGGTCCAGCATTGATGATCAAACAAACGGATAGATGGGTTGGGTTTGGAGGGAAGAAAATCAGAAATAGATAAAAGGATGAAGGAAAAGAGGAAAGGGAAATTGGTTAGGAATAGGATTGGGAAGGAGAGATGGGATTGGCTGCAGCAGATATGGGGCGGGCCCAGCCCATTTCCGGGTTTGCGGTTCACATTCCGCCATTTTCCGACTCTCTCCCACGCTCCCTTTCTTCCTTCTCATTTATTTATTTATTTATTTATTTTGATGATGTTGCTGTCGTGTGTTGCGCTTTTTCTCCAGAATTTAATTTAATTTAATTTATCTCTATGTCTATCTGTTTTTAATTTTTTTATAAGACATGAAAAAAGGAGGAGAGAAACTCTTGAAAAATGGAATTCCAGTTAGTTGCCTAAAAATAGGACGGACGTGCAGAAGCGTGACTCCAGCAAGCACAACACAACATTGGAGAGAGAGATCGATCGATGCGATGATGGATGGGCCATACGAACGTGTTCCTGCCATCTCCCTCCAACTCCTTATTGGGTAAATGCCACATTTGATCACTGGAATTACTAAATGGTGTTATATTTAGTCACTAAAAAAAATTAATATCAATTTTGGTCACTCAAATTACTAAAACATGTCACATTTAGTCACTCTCTCGTTAGCCTCCATCCAACTCCGTTAATGGAGTTGGACGGAAACTAACGGGAGAGTAACTAAATGTGACATGTTTCGGTAATTCGAGTGACCAAAATTAATATTAATTTTTTGAGCTAATTCCACTAGGAAGCCCAAACTATCCAAAAAGATTCATTTGTGATCTAAACTATTCAATATGACAAATCTGGCACAGACTATATACGTTTTGTGACATTTGTGTCCTAAACTTTTCAATATGACAAATCTGGCTCAAACCACATAGAAGTTGACTACATTTTCTGTAATCTACTAACGGTCAACGTCGGTCAACATTAACAAAAAAATAGTTCGTGCCAGATTTGTCATATTGAATAGTTTAGGACACAAATGACACTTTTTGAATAGTTTGGACTTCCTAGTGGAATTAGCCCTAATTTTTTATGTGGCATTTACTCACTCCTTAATTAATACCCTTCCTCCAACAACTAAACCAAGGGAAGACAGAGCGAGTGAGCAACCTCATGGTTTCTCGACCCATTCCTTACCAATCTGTGTACGTATTAAAGTCTTATCAACTAGATAAACTATTTTCAGAACTTGTTACAAATTTTACATGTGCATTTATTTACATTTGAAATTTTATAACCAAGTTGGATACCCATTTACTTGAGTATGTTTTAACTACATATACAAAAATTGGACCTATTTGTAAAACTTAAAAAGTTTAGATATAAAAATTTAATTCACAAAAATTTGATGCACAAAAATGTAATTTTCCATCAATATTTTGAGGACTTACAAGTTACAAACATTACAAATTTGAGGCTAAAGAAGAAGTGATGGAAAGGAGAAGTTACGCCTACGGATCCCTGCCTGGCTGCCCAGCGGGAAGGAAAGGGACGCCGGGAATTTCCTCGCCGGTAGATACTGGCCGTCGGGAAAGGGACGGGATGTCTGCAAATCCCCGGCCGGCGGGAAGGATATGGACGCCGGATTCCTGGCCACCGGACCCGGAGAATGGACAGGACACGATAAATTTTTTTAATCATTTGATAATTAAAAATTAAAAAATCATGCTGTTCTTCATTTTTAATGATTAATTAGAGCCATTAATGAAATTAAAGAACTAGGGTTTCTTAGTCAAGTGACTAAAATCCCCTTGATTTTAGCCCAACAACATTCACCACACACTAAATTCATTCCCGAAAAGCCAACAACAACAATCACCTTTATCTATTCAAAACAAAGATGGTTCTTTCTACTTTCAACGAAGAGAAGCAACCCCAGCACCAACATACCACAAAAAATCAGTCAACATACATCGACTTCGCCTTACAAACACATATCCACCCGATAGATCAATAAGAATATTGCTCCATACAAGGCCGATGCAACAATTGAAACGAAATATAGCACGTCCAGATACCTAACAGAGACTCATGCAACTGATTTAGGAGGCTGTCTGCATCTCAATCAAGTGGTTAACTACGGCGACTTGATAAAACCGTACAAAAAGGAAAGAAAACTCCACACGTACTTTTCCCTCTCCAGTAAGTGCAAACCATAGCATCGGTCTACTATGCGATCCCAAACTCGTGAGAACTTGGCAACAGACACAGTAAACTTGATGCAGCAAAAACACAATTAGTTGACAATATAACCATACAAATAAACCCAGATATAGCTTATGTACTTCTAAAAAAACCTGGAAAGCAATCTGTTATCATTTGATAACAAGCTCCAGTTCTCACTTCTTCTACGTGGTACCCGGCTGAAATTACTGCCCTGCAACTACTGCAATCACTTCAATAACCAAGTTAGATCCAATTGAAGACAAATAATGGCAATCTGAAATGAGCGCATTGCATAAATAAACTCATGATCCACACTATGCGGTATCAGCACATGAGAAAGGATGACAAAAAATTGAAATCTGACTGCACATGCATAACTTAAGCCAAAGGAGAAAGAAAAAGAAAAACAACACAGCTTATATTTATGCAAGCAGAACGAATGAGGATGAAGATTTTCCTAAGCATCGGTCCACAAAGCCTGTGGACTACTGAGTACAACTCTTCCTTTTCCAACGCTCAATACATTGCGTTCCTTGCAGCAAAATAATCGCTGACAACCAAAAACTACACAATTCTTCCATAATCTTTTCTTCCTCTAGATGTTGGAGGAGGAATGCTTGGTCCTGGATAATTGGCCCTACGTCCTACAAAACCATGTAATACAGTACCTATGTCAGAATTGGGTCATACCACCCTACGCTATGCTCTGGCCAAAACCAGATTGTTTGAATGAAGAAGCGATAATTCAGATTTCAGGGTGAGTCTGGACACATACCAAAGGGAATGCCGTTGTTGTATGAACTACTTCCAGGAGAACGTGGGCCCCCAGAACTAAAGCTAGACTGTGGGGGCTGAACCTTGATGTTATTCCAATCCCCACCATAAGCAGAAGGTCTCCCATGAGTACCCCGATGGCTGGCTTGCTGTCCTAATCGGCTTGGAGAATTCTGAGGAAGATGGGGTGTGAAATGGGACGGCTTTGGCATTGAACGGCCATAGATACCAGTATGCAGTTCATGCACTGAAGGAGGGCTTCCGACATTGACATGTGAAAATGGTTGCACAAAACCATTTTGTCTGGTACAAGAGATGGATAACAAGACAGGATTCAATTTGCAAGCAACACTCTGATATGGAAGTAACGCCAATCAATAATTACCAGTAGTATGCCAACAGAAAAAATTATTCAAAGTACCAGTCAATAATACCAAGAACTTATGTACTTATCCACTCAAGCTGCTACTTTGCTTGTGTTAGCTTCATCGATGACAAAACACGAGAAAACAAAGTGTAGGATTAACTTATCATGACCATACCTTTGAACTAAAGAATAAGAGCTCAGATTTGATTGATGGCTGGATCTTCTTAGAGTAGCTGACTGATCGCCTGAACCAAGATTGACACCTTTACTGAATTCAGTACTTAGGGAGCCAACATCAGAAACATCCTCTTGCAGAAGAAGTTCATCGCTGAAACATGCACAAGATTCAATCAGTTCAGCATAAATGGTGACACTATGATCCAATGAGCATCAGAGGCTTGACAACAGCAAAAGCACCTTTCACTGCTTCATGATATATAAAAACAAAAACAAAAAAAATGGTCTGATGACAGAAGAGAAAGCATAAACATTTAGCCCCTCACACTCCTAAATATATGAAGCAAATTGCTACACAATAAGTTGCACTGAGGGATATAAGCCATAGAGCTGCATGATAGAAAAGATTCAATTTTCCCTAACAAAGTACCTTGATCCTAACTGGATTAAAACAATGTATTATGCACAGAAAGCAATCAAGTGACCAAAACATCAAATAACTCCTGCAGAAGTAATAACAACCAAAGCCACTGGTAGTTTCAATCCGGTCAGGTCTTGTATAAAGACCAAAAATAATACATGTTGCAAGTAAAGATTGGATAGTCAGCCTGCTAAGTAGTTCCACCTGTAATGGTGTGCTTGCTTGGGCTTATCCCAACCACAGTGAAAACAACAAACTTGCTAATCCCAATTTTTCTCCTATAATCACTATGTACAACACAATGCATGCGAGCAATCTACTCTTAAACTTTTAGTCAACTTTTTTCCAGAAAAAGCTAAACCAAATACTTCCTATTTTTGTGACACATGTCTCAACCAACAAATTCAACAAGTGAAACAGAAGATGCATTAGCCTTCTCACCTGTAATTTGGATCCCAATCCCCCGGATGTGGCAATAACAGATTATCCTCAGGCTTGTCATGATCTAATCCAGTGCTTTGTGAAAATGGAATGCTAATACCAGATCTCGACGAGCCTGGCACATTCTGAACCGAAGATTGACCTGGGACAAAACTGCCCCCTTGTTGCTGCGTCCAGCTTGCAGTACTAGAATTTGGAAGCGGGTGTGACGGCTGACCACCAGGGGCCAAGACAATTCCCTCACCTTGGCTAGAGCAGGGATTCTCAAAATGTTGTCCCCAATTTTTTCTCCTATTGAATTGAGTAGCTGCTGTCATTTTACTCAGAGGCGATCCATGACAACTGTTCCTTACAGGAGAAGGTGGACCATAATGTCCAGGAGAACCAGCTGAAACCTGATTGTAAGAGGCTGGAGGAGTGAACTGTGAGGGGCTTGCACCGAGTGGAAAAGGAGCAAAATTCCCTGCTGAGGGGCTTACACCAAGCCCATTCCCATGTGAATATTGGACAAATCTCTGCCTTGCATCAGGGCTACCACCAAGCATAGACTGACCATGCTGTGGATGCATGTTTATTCCAGAATGATTAACTGGTGAATAATATGCCAGCATATTGTTGCTATCTCCATAACTTCCATAGCTACTTCCAAGGCCCAAGCCATCATTATAGCTACCATGGCTTCCTACAGTACCATAGCTACTTGCATGTGAATATGGAACCATCGGAAAATGTGGGCTGTTATGCATGGAATTCCTCATCTTGCCTTGAACCTGAAATAAAAGCATCTGTGTTTTAGCTGTCACCAAGTTGCAGCTTTAGTTGATTTTGCGCTCATATGATGGAATGAGGAACTTTCGTTTTACCTCCTCTTTACAAGAAGGGCTCCAAAATATCAAGAGACGAAAAAGAGAACAGCTTACATTAGGAGATAGACCAGCAGCAAACCAGTGCCCACCACCAGGATGATGGTCCACCTTAATATTTTGAGCGACAGGCTGAAAAACACATTGATGCAAAGAGGAAGATATAGATGGAGAGAGGTCAGCACAAATGTCCATACAAAAGAACATTAGTCTCGCTTCAACAGAAAGTGCTATCACTTCAATTACCCAAAGAGCACGTTTTCACATATAAAGCAATACAAGCACAACATACACAAGATTTACAGGTAAGGTCTTCCTATGCCCAGCCTGTGTTCATCAAGAATATCAGCAACATTGAAGAAAACTAAAAAAAGGCAATGAAGGTGAATTGCAGTGAACAAATAGCTCACTGCCTTGAGATGAGCTACAGTGTTGTAATGGTATATAAAGTTGGTACTGAAGGTCCTACCATGCGAGGAGTCTCAGGAGGAGGCTTATAAGGGCATGTAAATGGTTCTCCTGTAACAAAAGGATGCTTCGAGGCCTGCAGAATGACTACTTGGGTTAAAACTATATCTAGGAAGCGGTTACAAATTCATAATAGCACATCTAAAGAGATCAGCTCTGCAACTACTGAATAAATATCTGAATGGCAACTTGATTACCTGAAAAGGCGACCACCTTTTCGCAGGATCAAACTCAACAAGTCCCTTCAAGAAATCAATCAGAGCTAATCGTATTTGGCTTTCTGTTGTACACAGTCGAAATTTCATCAGGTCCTTCTCCAACACAGATGAAGACACATAGAAACAAGTCATTATGTAGATATTCTTTAGATAAAGAAATACACCTTTCAGAACATCTTCTTGTGCCAAGTTCTTCCTGTAGGGATAGTTTGTCACAATAGCCTCAAGGTTCATACGATTAAAATATTCCTTCCCCATAGCTGGTTTCTTCATTTCTCTCTGAACAGACAGTTAACAAAGGAGAGCCGCACAGTCATGCATCAATGCTCCCCAATTATCCAATATTTAAAGGTTTCCACTTAAAAAAACAGACAACACTTACAGCTTCATATTCTTCTATAGTTAGTGCTTGATACGCAGTTCTGCCACCAAAGGCCTCCACGCCCTCTAAGTTGCAAATGCTGCCAATACATTTGAAGAATTTGCCGGTGTTCTTTGCATTCTTCAGTACATAATCAGGAGGTTGTCGTCTAAAACATTTCAACCAAATATGCCAAGTCCAAGAATCATTCAAACAGTATTCTTTCATAGAGCATTGTCAATAAATAGAACAACTCATGGAAAAAGGAGAACAAGAACAGTGTATGAAATATTCAACTTCACTTGGGTCTATATAATGGGCACAGTCTAAACCGCATGGGGAATGAAATCCTACCTTGCTATATGTTTGGTCACACAGCCATCTTTAGCTTTAGTTCTAGGTTTAGTGTTCTTTTAATTAAGTTATAGTTTTTGTACTTCCTTTAGTTTCCGTATTGGTGGATGGTCAAAGTAAGAGACGCGAGGATGTACTCTACAAATTATTAGAATTGGACTGTTTAGGTCATAAACTTTAGGATGTGCACCTGAAATGGATACTGAAGAGGACCTGCCTTAGAGATCAATATGCCCAGTACAGAAGTGAAATAACAAATACCAAAAGACAGAGAACCAAGATTTAGGAATTCAACTAGCAGACAGATGAAGGGGCAAAAAATATGGAAATTGAAAAACTACATTGACACAAAAAGATCCATACAGAAATTTAGTAATATATCAATGACTAGGTTGAAGAAGTCTCCTTCATTGAAGTGAAACATGGAGTATACAATAATTAATGTTCAAAAAAGAGTACATACTAATTACCCCAAATTTTAACGGATCATTGAACTTAATGAACTAACAATTTGGTGTAAGAATACGGACTTACCCAAGTATTTCAATCATTCGCCTTAACAAATCAAACTCTGAGGCCCCAGGGAAGAGAGGCAACCCTAGAAACAATTCTGCAACGATGCATCCAAAGGACCACATATCGATTGCAGTAGTATATCTTGAAATGGCTAAGGTCAAGTCATAAGTTTGTGACAATAAGATCAAACACAGATGATAATTCCAATGCATCCAGTGGATAACTAACTGACCACGACAAACTATCAAGCTAATATTTTGGTAAGGTGCAATTGACAGCATGGAATAGAGTCTTATAATGCTTGCTGCTTTATAGTTAACATTGGACAAAGTACCACCAGAAGTGCAACCGCTTAGATGCTGCATGTTTGACATTTCCACTAAATCAAGGTAGCGCACAATGAAAATGCCCAAACAATAGCTTTCTACCAAGTGTTAAACTTTAAACTTGAATTTTGTCCAGGTCCCTATATCTGCTTAACTGAGATCTTCTGATTCTCTTCACCTGCTCACTTTGTTTTAGCATATATTTATACTTCTAGGATATCCAACAAAAGAAGCAAGGAAACCTAAAATGGAAAAGAAAACATCACTAAAAAGCCAGAATTCATTTGGAAGGATACTGATACCCTAGAAGAACTTCAGGAGACCGGTAATAACGACTCTGCAAACAAAAAGAAAAATGTGAGCTATGCAAAAGAAAAGAGCTCTGATAAAATAAATAAATAAATAAACCAGCTAATTAAACAAATATTAAACCTGGATGTAAGAGTAGACTGTACGATCCTCCATGCAGGCTGATCCGAAGTCAATTATCTTAACTTCTGCTGGCTTCAAACTGTTTTTCCAAAGGCAGAAAGAATGTCAAACGGAAATGATGAAAGGTAAGTCTTTCAGCAAAAAAAAGCCTCATTGTTTCAAGACAACTACCTTGTGCACAAAAGAACATTTTCTGGTTTCAGATCACAGTGGATTATACCAGCATCTTTCAACAACGCCAATCCACGTAAGATCTGTTGAAAGCAGTAACAGTTTAAAAATAAGCAAACAAAAGCAAGTGAAGCAGAATGGAGATTTTAAATAATAAAAAGCAGCCATATGCTTTACCTGTTTGGAAAATAATTGCACAATGCTCAAAGATAGCCCCCTAAATTGATTTATCTTGATAAGTTCATACCTGGTAGCAGCAAATTATCAAATATAATATACATAGCAAAAATACATAGAAAAATATCGTGATCAAGATTATTAACCGACAGATGGAGTAGCACACCATAAATTAAGTAGTGAGTTTATGAGGCCAACTTACAAGTTTGTGTCGAGCAATTCAAAGCAAATGCACAGGTGCCGGTGATGGACAAAGTAATCATAGATACGAACAATATGATGCTTATCTTCAGGATCATACTTCTTGTTTAGCTGAAAAATGAAACAAAACGAGCATCAGTATCAGACTGCAAACATGGATGAGAAGACATTTAAAACAGCTTCATAATTACCGTTGTCAAAATAGATACTTCAACAAGTGCTTGTTGATAATAAGCTGGTTGGTTTTTGATTATCTTTACAGCAACGAAACTGTTAGTTTCCGCAACCCAACATTTAGCAACCTGGCCAAAAGTCCCATGGCCAAGGACATCTTTGACAACGTATCTGCAGATATCAGAGTATTGACCAAGCCATTAAATTGAAAGAAATTAAACTATCGTCATTCATACAGTGCATCACACTTCCATGCACTTATCGAACTTTAATAAAAGATCAAGCTAAGACATAAATCAGCTGTAGTAAGCAAACTAGCAGAGATGTTACAATTGAACTACTTCCAGAAGCAAACAGGTATTAGGATACAAACAGATTCCAAAAGGAAATGGAACCACAAGATGCTGGTACTCATTTTTGGCACAAATTGCCCCAAAAAGCTCATGGCTTCAGTAGAAAACACGCTGAAGCCAGAGGGGCGCATTGCCAAGTCAGAAACACAAGAATTGAATGCAAAAGGGAATACAAACAAGAACCAGAAAAGTGAATTTTAAAGACATCTGATGGCCAATTACTTCAACCAATTCCACCGTTAAGTTATCCAAAATAAACGTATTACTACAGTGATGTGGATTATTGCCTAAGAACATTAAAGATCATCATAGATCATCCAACATCACCAGTAATTCAGCCTGTATTATAAAATTTTCAGATATATAAAATTTTATCAACATGCTTTATTGATTGATTATAGAGCGAGAAGGAGTGAAGAAAAAAGCCTGAACAAACCTTCTTTGAGTCTCGACATTGATCAAGGGGCAATTCACGCTCAATATAAGGTCCGAGTTTAGATTATCATGGCCATCATTGAGAACTCCAATTGATGGACTGGTCAAATATCTCTTCGGATTTAAGTCTTCTGAATATTTAAATTGGGGATTGCACTTTTTATAAGTTTCAACTATGTCTTTGGTCAATCTTGCCACCAACTGCATATTGAAAGTCATCAATTAGCAGAACGACTCAACTCTAATAAATTCAATCTCCCTTGACATAATAGACATCAATTATCATAACAGACTCCCCTTGATTAATATAAAGGTAATAAGATAATTGATCTTACGCAAAGACAAAAAGGCTGAACCAGAACAAGGACATGCAGGCTAGTGCCACCTTCACTTAAAGAAGGTATATAATCCAGCAGCAATTAGCAATATAATTTATGCATCTTATGACATACATTCTCATAGACCACCAAATGGTCATTCAATTTTTCACTCAAAACACTTCTAGCAGTGGAATGATTATGAGTAAACTAGACTACATGCATGGGAGATAACACCATACTTCTGAAAATGTCCGAGATGAATATGTGTAAGGGAGATCCAGAACGATTAATATAATTCACTAAAGAAGCTTTAGCTTGCAAAAAGTAGCAATGATAAGCATATAGCTTCTACCAAAGGGAAATACTAGAGCAAAGCCTTAACAGTCCAGTTCTTGTTTGAACTAAGGTACCAACAACCTTCTAACGATACTTGCATTACACAACTCACTACGCACCCACAGACTCAAACGAAGAGGCCTATCAGAGAAGAAATACAGTATATACCAGAAACTACGTGAAGCTTAACCCACCTAGTGCTATCAGTTCCTACAAGGAAGCTCAAAAGCACTAACATTATAGCTCCTGGTGTAAAAGAAGTGACCTTGAACTTTTAGTGCTTGATCGCTGACATCCATAGTGAAAAGGGTGATTCCTAAACTGGCAAACTGAAAATTAGAAATATGTACTGCAAGCTGTTGACAATATAGGAATAGAATGCAGGGTACTTCTTCTCTAGTTATGTACTAATCCACCCACTTAACTCCTGCTCTATGTTACATAACTCACGAATCCATGAGTACATTATATTCTACTAGATTGCAACTCGGAGAAAAAACTAATCAAGAACATTTTTTTGTCCGGATCAGTGAATATTTGTTTATGGTCCGCGAGAGAATGCATTCCGCTTACCGTCCACCAGCACGTTCTTGCAAATATGTAAATCCAATGCAAAGAACAGGCTCCCGACCAGTAAGAGAGCAGAGAAGCACTTACAGGTCTCTTTACAACAGCGCGCTCAGTTTGCAACCGGTGAGAAGGTTGATATGGCTTGAAAGCTAGCTGCCTCGGCTGCCATGGCGTCGAAGTACCTTCCAGCACTTGAGCCTCACCAGTACCCTCCTTGTCCCCATCCATTGACCAACGACAAGAATATCACAAAAACCCACCAAAACTCACCAAACTTACCAATCAAAGGCCTCCTCTCCCCATTCAGTTCAACGCATTAATCACCCAACCGCAAATGAAGCGATCAATCACCGATTGGAAGAAGAGGAAGAAGTCGTATCAGTAGAAGAAGCAACAGAGGAGCGCCGAGACGTAGTAGCGGCAATAAATCTTGTAGCAGAAACCGCAAAGGAGGAATGGTGGACGGCACCTGCGGACTCTAATCCCATAATCCCTCCTTCATTCATTCTCGCCACTTCACATCACCGCCCAGTCAAATCTTGAGATTGCATCCCACAATTGGACGGCATGTGAAGTCCAACTGGGGGGGAATTTCACAACCCACCGCTAGCGGAAGTCTTCCTTCGGCGGCGCGGGCGCCGGATGATTTTCTCACAAACAGAAGAAACGAGGAAGAAAAACCAGTGTCAGCAACAAGGTAACTGCGAATAGAGACAGAAGCTCGAGTAAGGGAGCAGAAGCGAAGGTCAATTCGACCGGCGATTAGAGAATTGGCGATGAGAATGAACGGAGAAGGATTGAAGCAGAGGGGGTGGAAACGGAAAGAACAGACAGAGAGGGAATTCTGTTGTGTGTGATTCTGTCCTTCTTTGCTTTCTCTCTTTCTATTCGCTTTTGGTCTTTTGGGCTACCTGATTGTTTGTTTTCCGGTTTTTTTTAGAGTTAATATATTTGTGTGAGTCTAACTTTTCACCAAAAAATCTCAAAATACACATGTAATTAAAAAAAATCTCAAAAAATCTAAGTTATAAAAAAAAATAAGTTACAAATATTTGTCATTCACCGCTCTTATCTAACGCAGTGAAACAATTCATCGCATCTGGAAAAGCAGTGAAATTATCGTCGCCTAAGACAAAAGCGGTGAAAAATTCCCCCCTTTTGTTTAAAACAATTAAATAATCACCGCTTTAACCGAAAATAGGGAACATTTCGCAGCTGTAAAGAAAAGCGGTGAATCTTTCACCGCGTTAGGTTACTACGGTGAACAAGCCACGTTTCCCAACCCTTGTAGGTAAATACTTAGGTCACAACCACCTAGTTTTCACCGCTTTAGGGCGGCACGGGGAACGCCTTCACCGCTTTGAACAACAGCGGGGAGTGCGTTCTGTTTGTCAAATAAATACTCCCTCCCACGTAGCTGCTGCTGCTGATAATAGTTGGGTTTGTTTATGAGTTTGGATAATATTATTTTCGTAGCCGTAAAAATATGATTTTGGTTTATTTTATTGGAGTTAACCTAATAGTTACTTATGATAAATTGCATATATGGGTAAATTCAAGAAATTTCAGCTTCTTATTCGGTGGAATGGTCGAGTGACAAACTTTGACTTTAGGATCGATTATGAAGACGGTGAATCCACTATGTTGAAAATTGAGTCGAGATTCACGTGGCAAGAACTCCGTGACATTTGTGCACACACGATTTGTTTGGGCGGACTGACGAGAGTTGGTAAAATTACATACCGGTATCCAGGCATGAGTATTGGCGGGGTTATGTACGAAGCCTTTGTCATAAATGATGATGACGCGGTGACCATGATGTTATGGTTCCTAGGTGACAACGAGATGCGGCTTGCAGAGATGTTGATGCGATTCCCAAGCAGCGGAAGAAAGGCTGGCAGAGGGGGGAATACCCAGCCAACGAAGCCAAATACCCGACCGGGTATTGTGGGACATGACATCGACCGGGTATTTTCGCATCAACCGGTCTCTCTTGGGCAGAAAGCCCCCTGGCCGTTGAGTATAAATACCCGACCGGGTATTTTACCTGGGTGACGGGAATTTGTGTGTTTAACCTATTTTTGTTATTTTTAATTGTCAAGACCTATATAAAGGCTGAAACTCGGGTTTTAGGGTTAGTTTTTAGCAGAATATTGGTTTTTATCTTGGTTTTGAGCTTGAGGCTTGAATTTTTTCTCTGTATCAATCAAGTTTTCCCCTTTATTGTGGTCTAGATTCTATATTTTATATTGATTGAGCCTTCCCCCATTTTGTGTTGAGATTGCACTTTCAATTCCATCTTATCCCAAACAAACAAAAATCCCTAAACAGTCTTACTATTGTTCGTTCTTGGAGTTGCGTACTTTGATAACTATGGGTACAGGTTTCGTGCTCGTATCAGGTGGTATCAGCGCTCAGGTTCAACACAGTGGTAGGATTGAAAGCGAGAGGACCTGTTGCTTATCGAACAAGGTCCAAATATCCTATTACAGAACATATAGAATAGGAGGAATCGCTCTCTGAAGAAGAAACCCCAATTGAAGAACCAGTCATGGGAGAGCAGAGTCAGAACCTTGTAGAAGCTATGAAGCTGCTTGCCGCGCGGATGGCACATATGAGAGCTTTGCTTCAGGCCCAACAGGACGCTACCAAAGGTCTGCTAGTTGAGACAAATCAGAGGCTGGATTAGGGGTGGGCATACGGTTCGGTAAAACCGAACCGAACCGAATTCAAACTGAACCGAAACCGAATAACATTAATTCGGTTCGGAATTCGGAAGAGAAAAGGGTATATTTCGGAAACCAAGGTCCTTTCGACCGAACCGAATTTCCGAATTTCGAACCAATTTTCTGAATTACTATAATTGCAAGTTCCAAATGGTGGATTTTTATGTTTGTACTTATTATGAGACTTAAATATTTGAATTATGTTAGTGTTTTATGACTTATGTGTTGAAATGTTTGATTTTATCATTGATAATGCATTTAATTGCATATTTATTGTTTACATTATGGGTGAAAAATCATTTAAAAGAGAAAAAATACAAGCTAACCTCACAAGTTCGGTTTTTCATACAAAACCAAACCGAACCGAATTATAATTCGGTTTGAACCGATCAAACTGAATTATAATTCGGTTCGAATTCGGTTTGAGGTTTGATGGAACTCGGAAATTCGGTATACATTATTTTGGTTCGGTTTGAACCGAACCGACCGAATGCCCACCCCTAGGCTGAATACCCTAATCACCAGGTTGGAGACGCAACCAATGGGTAATATACTACCAGTAGAGAATCCAGCATTTGTCGCAGCTCAGACTGGAGTCGCGGAGTGACAGGGTCCAAGAGCAGATCGAGTGTACCAAACTTTTTCTAAGACCCCAGATTGGCAGATGCAGAGGCGCCAATACACGGAGCAACGTCGTCAGGCATTCCCGCAAAACAGACTTTCATTTAATGACTATGAGAATGATTATTATGAGTATGGAGGAAGACCAGCGGAAGCAGGAGGCTATGGCGTTGAACCTATTCGGAGGATTAAGCTCTCAATCCCCTCGTTTCAAGGCACTATTAGTGCATCAGCTTACCTCGATTGGGAGAGGGAGATGATTATGTTTTTTCATTGCAACCCTTACCCAGAGCATCAGAAAGTTATTGTAGCCACCTATGAGTTTACAGATTATGCAGCAGTTTGGTGGGAAAAGATTCATCAACGACAAAGAAGGAATCTGCAACCTGAAGTTTCTACTTGGGCAGAACTCTGAGGCTTGATGCATGATCGGTTTGTTCCACCATTCTATCAGAGAGGTCTCTATGATGCCTTGCAGGGAATTCGGCAAGGAACTCGCTCTGTTGATGAGTACTTCAAGGAGCTGGAATTGCTCATGATAAGAGCATATGTGAGAGAAGATAAGGAAACAACGATTGCTCACTTTCTGCATGGGCTCAACAGGGAAGTCAAGAATGAAGTGGAGCTTCATCGGTTTGTGGAGTTGGAGGAAGCGGTGCATTTGGCCATGAAGGTAGAGAGGCAGCTGAAGGTGAGCTTGGGAAGAAGTTACCCACCTTCACCCAAGCCTGTTGCAGAGAACCTTCCTGAGGCTAACATGAATCACCCTAAGCGAGAAGGTGACAAGCCACCTGCAAGGAACATAGCCTCAGTCATTCAAGAATGATGGCTCAACTAGAAGCATCCAATGCTTCAAGTGCTTTGATCGAGGTCACAAGGCTAACTAGTGCCCCCAACAAGAAGACTCTTGTCTTGCGAGATGGTGAGTACTTTTCTGAGGAGGAGTATGAAGAGAAGCCCATGGGGAATGGATTCGGTTCTGATGTTGATTCTGAAAATGATGATGTGGATGAGCACAACAAGGCTGAGAAACCTCCAACAAGTAAACTTCTTGGAGTGAACCGTCGAGCTTTATCTATTGAAGCTTACATAGAGACGGAACAGAGGGATAATCTCTTTCACTCTCATTGCCTGGTCGACGAGAAGGTGTTGTCTGTGGTCATCGATGGTGGTAGATGCACCAATGTGATTAGCCTGGATGCAGTCAAGAAGTTGGGATTGGGCACAATCAAACATCCTCAACCATACACTCTGCATTGGCTGAACGACTATGAGAATGTCAAAGTCAACAAGAAGGCCAATGTTTGTTTTCAGATCGGTGATTATGCAGATGAGATTTGGTGTGATGTTGCTCCAATGCAGACTTCTCATATCTTATTGGGTCGTCCGTGGCAATATGATCGAGGAGCTATTCATGATGGAAGACACAACAACTACCGGTTCAAGAGAGGCGATCGGAAGTTCCTATTAAATCCACTGTCACCAGCTGAAATCCGGGAAGATCAACAACAGTTGGCCATGAACTGGGCCAAGGAGAAAGGAAGTTCAAGTTGTTCAAAGTCGGAGGACGAAAGTGGAGCGCATCTAATGGTTCGAAGGAACATGTTGACTACATTGAGGAGAAGTTCATTTGGAAATATAGTTGATGTGGTCTCTTGCAGGAAAACACCAGCTTTGAGGGCAAAGGTTCTCGAACGCGGAGGGACTGATGCGATTCCCAAGCAGCGGAAGAAAGGCTGGCGAAGGGGGGAATACACGGCCAATGAAGCCAAATACCCGAGCGGGTATTGTAGGACACCGACCGGGTATTTTGGAAGCAACCGGTCTCTCTAGGGTAGAAGGCCCCCCGACCGTTAAGTATAAATACCCGACCGGGTATTTTTAGGGCTGATCGAGTATTTTACCTGGGTGACGGGAATTTGTGTGTTTAAACTGTTTTTGTATTTAGGGCTAATTTTTAGCATAATATTGATTTTTATTTTGGTTTTGAGCTTGCGGCTTGAACTTTTTCTTTGTATCAATCAAGTTTTTCCCTTGATTGTGGTCGAGATTTTATCTTTTATATTGATTGAGAACAGAAATCCATTATTGCCTCAATAGTCACTGGCCTGGTTTTAAGGATGGTGCCCTCCCAGTTAGGTATCTGGGAATTCCACTTACTGCAGGAAAACTGAAAGCAGCAGAGTGCATAGCCTTGGTGGAAAAGATAACTCATCGAATAAGTGGATGGCAATCGAAGATTTTGACATATGCTGGTAAGCTTCAATTAATTGTAGCTGTCCTAGCCAGTATTTCCCAGTACTGGATGAATATCATTCAGCTCCCCAAGAGAGTAATAAGAGAAGTGGAAGTTTTATGCTCAAAGTTCTTATGGGGCAACTTGGAGCAGAACAGGAAAGCAAAAGTGGCCTGGAAACATGTAGCTTTGCCAAAGGAAGAAGGTGGTTTGGGTTTTAGAGACTTGTGGTCATGGAACCAAGCATGCCTAGCTAGACATATATGGGCAGTTCTGGCAAATCAGGAGACTTTGTGGATAGC